GGTGTGGAGACAAAATGGTAAGGGCATTCAGGTGGAATAGTCAGTCACACAATAGATTGTCAGAAGCTTCCAGTGCTACTTGTTACCTACCATGTGACATCTGTGATCATGACAAGACCACCAGATCTGTCAGCCATGAAGTTATGAGATCTTTCTGTAAGGAATATAATGTCAGAAGTTATGAGATCTTTCTGTAAGGAATATAATGTCAGAGACTATTTTTTTCAGCACTCTGATGTTGTAGGAAAAGTCTGTGATTAAATTCTGACTCCATCAACTTTCGGCTGTGTGAATTTGAATGAGCTATATAAGCTGTCTCTACCTCAGTTTCCCAGCTGTAAAATGGGAGTAACTACCTCATAGAATTAAAGTCAGGTAATAAATGTTGAAAATCTGCCGTATCATAGACATGTAACAGACATTCTGTCTTTACGCCATTCTTACTAATACATTACATGGGACAGACCAGGCTGTTAGTCACAGATCCTTCTTTCTAGGCTTTACAGTACAATTATAACCTACCAAAGAGGTGATGAAGGCTTTGGCAATCCACTTGGAGTAGCTGTCAATGACTAAGTCTCCAAATAGCTGAAACAAGTTTATCAAATAATCAAGGTGGCTGTCATTCCCTCCCCTTTTAGAGTTTCTTATACTACATATACTTCAATGAAAACTTTGGCAAGCATTCGGAAGCTTTTAGACCTCAGAAGGGCCAGGGCTGATCGCCATCACTCATAGTAAGCTCCAATCCTCCTCCAGCCCTACTTTTGTTGCTCTTCAGGGCAGGGAGAGAAGTGTGTCATATGCTGGGCTCAGCTACGTCCAGGCCCATCTTTAGAGCAAGTCTCCACCAAGAGACACTGAATCTGGGGATCTCCCATTCACAAAGCTAAAGGATGGACATTTTACGACAATGCTGGTTAGATGCCAGACAAACAGAAACAAAAAATAAGCACAAGGTTTCTTAGACAAACAAGCCTTGTCTGGTGAGCATGTGGCTCGTCACAGAAACAAGTGTCCTCCTTGTCCCTTCGATGGAGGGAGCAGCTTCAGTGCCATCGGCTCTGCAGAAACCTCACTGACTCAGAAAACGGAAGAATGTGGCCAGCAAGAAACACATTTTCAACAAGCTGAGCAAACATGGCTTTGACGTCAGGGAGGGAGTATATACATGGGTAACAAAGGAGACGTGCACACATGGGGATTTTTGTGGTACCTGGGCGGCTGCCCAGAGCACTAAATCCTGGAGTTGAGAATCCCTTTGAAGACCCTTCACAACGCTTGGGAATTTCAAAGAATATCATCATAACTCAAAAAACCCTCCAAATGTCATTTTACCTTGTTCTTCTGCCTCCCCGTTGTGCTGGCTGTCCCCAGTGACAGAATGCAGCCCAGCCATTGCCTGAGGGAGGGGGTGGGTTGCCACAGATGTGCACATCTGGATCACCTGCTGCTAACCCATCAGGCCCCAGCTTCCCTGTGGCTTTGGCTTCCACATGACATTTCTGGGGGGTGGCCTCTTCTCTGAGGTAACTGAATCTGTTAGAATGAGGGTTTTAACTATTGATTAAAACATTAAACATTAAAACATTCCATAATGTTCAGGCTGACCAGTAAACTACATTTGGGGGGATGGAATCTTCCTTGTTTCCTCATATGGGAAAAGCAACTCTTGGATTGTAGTCCTTATAATGTATTTGAAAGTGGAGAATCCTTAGCAGGGGGTGTTGGGAGATCTAAAGGAGTCTTTCCACATTCTTCTATTATATAAGTAATTTCAGCAAAAGGCAACTTTGATTCTCACTCTAATTCTACCTTCCCTCTGTGGGTTTTCCACACAATTCCTCTAAATACAAAGGGAAATCCAATATCTACATGGTGACTTTCAACCCTGTCCTGCCGTATTGGGTTCCCTTGTTTTTAATCATTAAATAGTGAGTATACAATGACACTGCACATCTGTTTCTGGTCTGGGAAGATCAGTAAGGATGGGGTGATTGAGAGCTACATTAGGTGAAGCAATTACAAAGAAATGTTAAAAAGTGGAAGTGTACCATTTCCCCCATTTTATCTAATACATCCAACATCTGGGACAGGATGACGTGAAGCTCAGTTGATGTAGTAGAGTGGGGGTGGTGACTTTTGGTGGTGCATTAAAGTTGAGCAAATGGTACACTCTGCAATAACCTAGCTGTAAAGATCGCCTGCTGGGAGAGGTGTCTATGAGTGATGGCAAAACCCATTGGAATTTGATGGCTGAGTTTGCCCCTGTGTGACTTTGAATATGTGATTGCTTCTTTACGTTTTGTCTTTTAAAACAATCTGGCATTTAATTACAATTTGGCATTCCCCTTTGATGATTTTCCTTTATATGGGCTTCCGCCTATCTAAAAGGGTCTAGGTAATGTTTTAAAGCACCAGACTTATTTCCAACAAGTAGCTTAAGCACTAGCAGAAACTGGCATATTAATATTAAACCCAATGGAAATGCAATTTTTTAGTTTGAAGAATAAACATATGTTGGGAATTGCATAAGTCAAAGTCCTCCAAGCAAGGTTAAGTTGCTCTTTAATACATTGAGTGTACATATTTAGAAGTCTGGGGATTTACAATCCGCGAGAGGACTATAACTTTCTCTTTTTCTGATTTGGTGTGTGTAAATTTGTAGTGCAAGTGTTTCATTTCTCTAGACATTTGCATTTAATTTGCTGCTGATTTTAATGTGAAAAAAGGAAAAAAAAATTTAAGGTAAGGAAATCATGTTCCAGGATGAATGCATTACGTTTTGAGGACTATGCTGAGTTTTTTCAGTTGTGTGTTGTAACAAAGCTGTAACCTCAGGGAAGTATATGTAACACCCTGCTCAGAACATCTAGTTTGACCTTAAAGTATTTCCAAAGATTCCAAATAGTCAAAGAGCCCCATGCTGCCTTAAAACATAATACTCCATCTCGATCTATACCTTCTTTCATTTTTTAGAAGTACAGTCTGCCATTTTCAACCTTAGTTCTTATGATCCTTTTTCTAGATCACAAGCTGGCTTCCCCTTGTGATAAGAATGGCAACATGTATAATTTTTCCTTTGGTCTCTCACTTGTCTCTTTTGTACTGTTTTCCTTTTTTTTTTTTTTTTTTTAACTCACCACTTCGAGAAACTTAAAATCAAAGAGGGAGGGAAAACAAATAATTAGAAGAAAGTGGTGTAATGCTGAAATGACATTTAGGTTTGGGGGACTTACAGACTGCCTTTGGGAAAACCTGGAAATCCTTATACATTCAAGAGTTGACTCCAGAAAGAGATTTTTTAGCTATTAGAGCCAGTCCCTTGGAGATGGGTCCGGCAGTGACCCAAAGACAGAAATCACAGAACTTGTGGCATCTTCTCTAGTTTAAGGCAGCACACACAGTGGAAGTCAGACCTGCAGTCTGTCAGGTTGTGCTAGTATAGGGATTCAGGATGTGGCCACTCTGGGCTTCACTAATCAGACACGCTGCACACAGGACAGCCTATCATGGGGTGAGGATAAAAATAGAGAGAAAAAGGACACATTTCTGTTGTTGCTGTTTACAGAACCCAATTCCTTGGTCTTCAAAGGTCTTAGCCTCATAAAGCTGTAGGTTGTTGTTTTTCATTTAATCCCCCAGAAGAATGTGGAGGGGGAAATATTACAAACACCCTCTGCTTTGGCATTGTTTGATTTTTAAAAAAAAATTAATAAAAACAGTTCCTAGCAGCTGGTTGAAACAATTATGCTCTTCACAAAAGCCTTTGCAGATGACACCGAATGTTAAGAAAATAATTCTTTCAATTAGTGTGTGGCCAGTGCACCTGTGAACTAGAATCATCCAAGGAACCATATCCGCGAATGTCAGTAAGAACAATTCAGGAATTCATCCCCTCTGCCTTTTTCTATGTCCACGTTCACACAGATGTTAATCCTGTGGTGCAGATGCTGTAAGGGCCGCCCACCTCTAATCCCAGGAGCATGAGAATCATGAGTTCAGATCAGGAAAACTATTAATTTCTAACTGTCTGCTATCAGTATCACTTCTCCTTGTTTTTAGGGCTGCTTCTTTTTTATGTCTTTCTGGAACTGTAACACGTAATCCATTGGTTCTTGTGCAGAGTTGGCTCTTGGGTACAGTGGCAATTTACCACGATCTTATTTCTCAAAAACATTTATTGAACACCCCATTGCGCAGCATTGTGTTTGGTTGTAGGGATATAAACGTGAATAAGACCTAACTTCTGTCTTGGAAATGCTTATCATTTTGCTTCAATCAGCTTTAGTGCTATGTTATATCATATCACCGTCCTGTGTTTTTCAGGGTTCCTTTTTGGTCTGTGGGAGTAAACGGGAGTTTTGCCTTGTGTATTAATTATTGAATTGCTAGGTAACAAACCATCTCCAAATTAATGGCTTAAAACAACTATGATTTCTTAGTGCTCACGAGTATATTATGGATGGGCTTGAGCATTGTGCTGACCTGGCCAGCTCGGACGAACTTGGCAGGGCTTACACTGTCATCTGTCATCAGCTGATGGTTCAGTGGGGACTGACGCAGTCTAGGGTGGTCTCACTTCCACGCCCGGTGATTGGCTGGCTCTTGGTTGGAGTGATGGGGTTGACTGGGCCACATTGTCTCTCATCATCTGGAGAGTTAGCCCAGGCTCATGTGAAGAGTGATGACAGGTTTCCAAGGAAGCCAGCAGCAGCATGCAAGACTGCTCAGGACTTAGGCTGACAAATGGTACAAAGTCCCTTCCTCTGTATTCTGTTGGCCAAAACAAGTCATAAGGCCATTTCAGATTCAAGAGCTGGAAAGTCACATAATAAAGAGTATGGATGCGGGACAGAGTGAAGATTTGGACCTATTTTTGCAACCACATCCTTTTTATTCTTTATGATGGTCTAGAAAGCAACCTGTCATATCCTTACACCTTATTGAATTTTATGAACCTTGCCCATGAATCAGTTTGTCTCTGACAGTAACCTGGATCTACCTTAATATGTATGCATCATCATCTCTAAGGCAATATTATAGGTTAGGAAAAAATCTGTGTTAAAAAGAGGGCGAAGGACACGTTGCAGAAAAATTTCTCAAATCTTTCAATATGTTTGTGTGCCTGTGAATGGTTTTTGCATTTCCTAATCTTATTTGATCTTATCTTCAAGGGGTCACGTGTGATCCAAGGATCAGTTGGTGGAAAATGGTGTTTCAAGCTGTGTTTCCAGTCTTGGGCATTCACCTATGAAGTGCAAGCTGTGGCAAGAATCAACCTTCTAGATCAAAGGGATATAATGACAAAAGAAAAGGACGAAGGTAAGGGAGGGGCATTTACACTCTTGGAACACCCAAACTTCCCCAATGAGGGAGTAAATGCCTCCATGTGGCTTCACAGCATCCTCAAATGCCTGAGAGGGAAATCAGACCCTCTTCTCCTGCATGCTTGCTCAATGCCACGCTACTGGTCAGTGTCACAGTTGAGATCCCACGGCTCCAGCTAATGCACAGAGTGGATGGATGCTCAATACAAGTAAGAGTTATTTGGTATTTTATTTTATTTTAATTTCAGAGAGAGAGAGAGAGAGCGAGAGCGAGCATGCATTTCAAGCAGGTTCCACACTCAGCACAAAGCCCAACATAGGGCTCAATCCCATGACCCTGGGATCATGACCTGAGCCGAAATGAAAAGTCAGATGCTCAACTGACTGAGCCACCCAACCCAGGTGCCCCAAGAGTTGTTTTGTTTTTTAAAAATTTCTTTCGTAATAAAAAGATGAGACTCTTGATTTTAACAACTAAGCTTAGTCGTGATACTATTCGCACCTATCCTAGTGACGCTGGACAAACGATTTACTAATTCTGGCTTCAGTGCCCCTATTAGCAAATTAAGACACTTAGATTAATTAAATAATTATTATTATAAGAGAAATGTTTTAATCACTTACTGGGTTAAGTTACCAGGCTCTTCCAGGTACTAAATCATTAGTGAAGACCGTACTCCTACCTTATGTCAGCAGTTTTTCCAGGAACTGATCTACAGAGAAGTCTTCTGTTCCTACGAACTGCCATTTTAAGGGAGGTGGGAGGTGTCTGACTAAGAAAATGTAAAACACTTATGAATGCAGCTACAGCTTTTTGTTGTTGTTGTTCTCATGGCCCCAAAAGTTACCTGTCACATCCCTATATCTTAACTGTGTTTCTTTTTTTTTTTTAATTTTTTTTTTAACGTTTATTTATTTTTGGGACAGGGAGAGACAGAGCATGAATGGGGGAGGGGCAGAGAGAGAGGGAGACACAGAATCGGAAACAGGCTCCAGGCTCTGAGCCATCAGCCCAGAGCCTGACGCGGGGCTCGAACTCACGGACCGCGAAATCGTGACCTGGCTGAAGTCGGACGCTTAACCGACTGCGCCACCCAGGCCCCCCTCTTAACTGTGTTTCAACTAGTGAATTAAATCAGGGAATATGACAGTGACCTGGGGGGCTACTTTTCTATTACGAGGTTGGAAAAGCCATGAGGAAGTGGCTCTTAAAGAACAAGAAGCCAGTATGCATAGTCAGAGAATATTCCAGGAAGGTGACACAAGATGCTGGCTCCAGGGGAGTTTGAGAAAGTAAAAGAAAGCAACAAATGTGAGTAGAGTAGACAAGGCATCAAGGGATGGCCTGAAGAGGCTGGTGTGAAGACCTGGGGCTAAATCATGGAAGGTTCTGGAAGCCAGATGACAGCATTTGGATTGTATCCCAACTGCCTGGGAAGCCGTCACAGGTTTTTAAGCATGGGAGTGGTATGATCTTATGTATGAGCATTAACTGTATTAACCTGTCTGTTGTAGAATGCATGGATTACAGGGGACAAGAATGGAAGCAAGGAGATCATCCCCGGGCTACTATAGTGGTTTAGGTGGGAGATGGTGGCAGCAGGGTGGCTCGAGCAGAGGTGCAGAGGGGTGAATATACTTGGCAGTTGTTTCAGAAGTGAAGTTGAAAGGACCTGATGAGGATGCATTAAACCTGAGGAGTGCAGGAAAGAGAGGAGGTGAGGATTATCATTCAATTTGGAGTTTTGAGCAATTGGGTCGAGGTGGTTTTATTTGCTCATGGAGGTTGAGAAACCGGCAAAAAAGAAAAAAGTCTGCTTTCACCACAGTAAGGGTGTGTGAAGACTGAATGTTCCAAAGTGGCCACCACAGTCTCTTACAATGTGATCTTGCTGTTTGCCCTGCAAGAAGTACAGTGTAATTCCCTTTCTATGAATCTGGGTTGGTCTTAGAGACTCCCTTATAACCAGAAGGTAGTGGAATTGATGCATGACTTCCAAGGTTAGGCCAGAGGAAGCTTTGCAGAGGAACGCAGACCTCTGAAAACAAGGTCCAGCTTTTTCCTGGCTTCTAAGAGAGGGGACTTGATTGGGGGCTGTGGCTCCCCTTGCCCTACCGGGGTTTGACAGGGACTGACCCTCAGAACAGACTTCCACCAAGGAAACTCTGGGGCTGGTCAGCTCGCCTCAAGCCTCATTCCCTTGCTGCTGTCCTCTCCAGACCACTATCCTCTCTCCCTTATCTGCATGATGCACATCTCCAGTCAAGCCCCCATCCTACAGGCCCCCATCCTCTGCCACACTCACACCCCGCTCCCACTCAGCTTCTCAGTTCCCCTAGCCCGCCCTGCCTCTGTCAAACTTCCACCCCCACCTCTTGCTCTGGGTCTTTTATTTACTAAGAGCCTTTTCTGAATATGTATTCTACACCCTTCTCACCTTAATCGGACCTGATTTTCCCTCTTGACATCATTTGCCTCCATCTCAAGCACAGGGCCTGACTTCTTGGGTACCCAGAACTCTGTGCTAGAAAGAGGGGCCAAAAGGGATCCTGCTTCATCTGCCGCCCCTTGTCCTAAATAACCTCCCTTCCTCCTCCACCAAGCCTGCACCATGTGGCCAAGCCATCTCCCTCTTGCCCTTGGCAAAGTACATCTTTGGACTGGAAGACCACCTCCATACTCTTTTGGGGTCTCTCTCACAGCTTCTTCTATACCCCATATCTTTTCCTCTTCCTAGGCAATTTCACTTAAAATAATTTTACGTGAGCACTATTTTTTGAGGTGGAAACATGGCGGTGAATAAAGGTGCTTCATTCTTGCCCTCACGTAGCTTATAATCAACTTCGGTGTCTATATTCATATTGATCACTTACCCAGATAGCTTGTGCAAAGCCATTTAATAGGAGCTAAAGAAAGTATTTGATTGTAAAAACTGTGTTTCTTCTTTTTGCAGTTGTTCCAATACACATATATGGAACACGTATATGCTTATATAGACTGCATACTCCCTTGTCTGGGCCTCTGTAGCCCTTCGACCATTTTCCTATTTATGATGCTTTTGTTACTGTGCCAGTATTTCAGGTATGCATCTACTCCTAAAGCACACCCTGAAGAATATCTTGAGGGCCAAAACCATGTCTAACTCACCTTCCTTTTCTTTCCCACCTTTGCTTAGTACCAATAATGGCTCAGTGCATGTAAAATAACTGTAGCCTTTGCTGACCAATATAATTTATTTTATGGATTATTACAAAACTATACACTTAAAAGTGAAAGGTAAAGTTATTATCAATGTCATGCTGTTTCTATGATGACAGAAAGTCCTCTTATTAACACATATTTTGCACATAATTTCTCTCTTAGGTGCAAAAGCAGATGATCATGGCCTCAGTAGCTAGGGGTTGTTTCCAGTACTCCTAGAAAGTTAGAATCAGCTCCAAATAATGCTTTCTGGCGATGCCTACTATTTGAGTGTGTGTGTTGGGGCGGAGTAGGGGGGAGAGCTGGGGAGGGGAAATGATAGACATAAAGACTTTGGGTAAATTCATGTTTTAAAAACATGATATATTTGCTGACTGTATGACATTTTTGTCCCATGGTTTACTTTTATTTATTTTGTTATTGTTTCTTATTCCCACTGAAGAGGGAAACACTCAAGTTGTACTGAAGAACCTTATGGGTGAGGCAAGGTCTTAAGTGGGAAGCTCCTTTCTCAGCTCCTTTGTACAGTCAGGGGGTAAAATCTACCCTTGCCAGCTGGGAACGCAGCCCACAACTCTGACAAAGAGGCATTGGAGGGTGTGATCTCCCTTTGGAGGAAGCATGTTTCACGTGTGTCTTGTCCATATCAGAGAGGAACGTAGAGAGGCATGTAGGCGTGTGTTGGGCTGCCTGACACACCTTTCCGTGGAGGATCTTTCTTACACCTGTCTCCACTTACCTGAGTGTCAGAGCTGGGGTTTATTCTAGGTTCTTCCAGTGGCTTTGCTGACGGCCCGGGCAGGAGGCCTGAGGTCGATACACTGCGAGGATCGTTTGGTGTGGCCATGTTTGTATGTGTTCACATGTGTTTCTGTGTGTTGACTATGAGTGCTCTGTATCCTTGCCAGAGCATCCGGCAAAACACAGACATCTCTATGGAAAACTGTATCTGATCTTTGAAGTTTTCTTCATGGTTCGCAAAACCTATGTGGGAGTTTACTGATTCTTGACATCTGAAGTTTGGGCAGTGGTCCTAGGGTCTTCTCATTAGTAATCCCACACTGGAAATGCCATTATTAACTGAAGACAGATTATACCACCCAAAAACTGCCATGTGTCTCTCATTTAGCTTCTTGCAATAGCATCACAGTTAGGATAAATGGCCCAACTCCTTCTTGGAGCTGCCCTAGAGAGCACCAGAGCCTGTCTTGGTGGGCGAGAGAGTCTCATCCTTTACCTCTGGAGCAGAGCACGGACTGAGTGATAAGCAGATTTCAACAGGAGTAAAAACCACCTCTCCCAATCTAAATCGCAGAGCTCCAATCAAGGACCTTGATGACAAGTGAAATTAAATAAAACATGAGCGATGAAACACTGTAATATGTTTACGGTGAGCTAGTCCAGACAGCTGATAATTAACTGTTGCCCAAACAGCAACTTGGCAGTGGATGGCTGTAGCCAGGACACAAAGCAGTAGTGAATTGAAAGTCCTGGTAAAGATCTTTGTATCCTTGGAAGGAGCATGTGTCCTTCAACAGGAAACCTTCAAGTGCATAGGCTACCTCTGGGTCTGGATTCTGATCCCTTGTTGGTTTTTGGCTCACACATTCCGATCTGCCGTGGTAACGCTGTTTATGCTGGGCAGTCCCAAAGCAAATGTCTCTGTGTGTTTTTTTCCTGGACTACCACCCACAGAACCTACAAAATCTGAAAACAAATAAATGCAGATGCACACAATTTAAATAAGTTAAAAAACATGTTTTTATTATCTGCCTAGATTCTTACACTTAAAATAGTTTTGGTTTGAATCCTCTCCATACCCCTGTTTTTGCTGAATTTGAAGCAATACTGCAGAGAGGAAAGACAGTATTTAGAAAAGGAAACTGATTCTTCAAATGAGCTGAAATCAAATTCACATATAATAAGAAGCCAAGAAACTAAAAGGAGGCCTTGAAGATCCCTGGACTGTTTGCAATCTCAGCTTTCTTATCTGTGAAACGGAGCTTGGATCAGATGACCCTGTGGTTCCTTAGCTCTTCTGCTTCATGGACTATTATTGGAATAGTATTCAAAGAATGCGCACAAGTTAAGGCCAAACACGTGTGATTTCAAATGTGATTCAGAAATAGAATGAGTGATCGTACAATATAACCCCTAATCCAGATTTCCCCCATGCTTCCAGAGCTGTGTACATAGAGGTGATAGAGCCAAATCTCAGAAGGCCAGAATCTGGTTGATCAGACTTTTCAATTGATGACATGCTAATAAGGATGGGGATGCTTTGCATTATATTAATTTTTGTCCTTATTCCATTCCCCCAACCTCATCAGTACCCATTCTTCTGTATGTCCTTGCAATCCAACTTCCATTTATTTCTATAAAACGTGTACTCTTGAAAAATGTATAGTATTACTATGTTTTTTAAAAATTTCCATAAGGAATATTTGCTACAAATCTGTTTTACTTCTTTAAGTTATGCTTCAGATATCTATGAATGTTGATATATACATCAAAGATATATGTGCATATATACACTTCTCAAAATGACTCTCATTTCATTTAAGAAGAGTTCTTCAGACCACAGACCAACAATCATCCCTTTGAGTTGGTGGCCGTGGGTGCCAAGAGAAAAAGGTATCTTGGTCTGGGTCAATGGCACTAAAAATGCTCATTTCCCCAGCTTGCCATCCTTACATGTTCTCCTCTCATCTCTTGTGACATTTGTTTTCTTCCCAGTCCCTGGGGATTGTCTTCAAGCAGTTGCTTTTAGGGATTTGCAGAGTTTGCAATGTGATACTACTTCTCTTTTGTCTGAAGGCTATTCCTCTAGGGGAAAAGTGGTGATTTCCTAAAAATCCGTGCAAATGTGAAGAAAAGCTGTGTGTTTCTGGTTGTTGTTGTTTGCTACAGTGCAAAACAAAAATAGTGAAGAAAAAATACATCTCATTGCTTCTGATCACTGCATAGTATTCTGTTCATTGCATGTATGCCCCATTTTATTTATTCATTTCCTTATTGATGGAACTGCAGACTGCCTTGATTTTCACCCATGACCCTGCAAAGGATATCTTTATACAAGTCTGTGGGCATCTGCATGGAAATTATAACAGGACAATGTACTCAGGAATAGAATCGCTGAGTCCTAGGGTATCTGCATATTTAACTGCACTCACTGCTATGAGACTATTCACCATGAAATGAGTTCAGACATCCATCAGCAGTCCATGATGGTTCTTATTTCCACACACCTTTATATGATTTGGCTTTCCAATACTTGACAGTGTGATGGGGGTAAATAGTATCTTATTGCTGTTTGAATTTGCATCCTCTAATTACTCTGGGGGTTGAGTATCTGTTATAGATTTGACAGAAACAATGCTGTGTTCACCACACCATTCTCTTTTTCTAGACAAGTGGAAAAGATACATTTTACAGCTTCTGTTATAATTATTACAAAATGTTTGTAATACTCAAATTATTTGTAATATTTGCAAATCATTAACAATTTTCAATAATTTCGTAAATATGTAAATTATTACAGTTACAAAACTTCCATTACATGTATGTTCACATAAATGAGTCTGGGCCATCCGAATGTGATGGGAGTGTGATTAATATTAACATTTGCTATTTTCTGGGAGATTCTTACTTGGCTTTTCTTCTCCCTCCTCTATATAATTGTGGGTGGGGGGAAGTGGCAAGCCATTCTCAGTCTTGTCTTAAGGAATGTACCATTTGCAAACATCACATCCTGACCCAGGGGTTGAGAGACCTGACAATATAACAATATATTATAACAATGTAACAACAACATAGGGGATCTCACTTTACAAAGTTTCAACCAAAACTTGACAATGAGCTGTATGAGAAAATACATTATTTACTAAGGTTTCTTCCAGTTTAGGAAATCTTTATGATATTATACTCAGATTCAGGGAGGAACAAAAGTAGTGAACTGCTTTCAAGGAAGGACTATCCAATGGTATCTGAAGTTGGCACTGGTGTGTAATCAGATTAGTGGTTGCAGCCTTCCTTAGAAGCCAACAAGGAGAAACAATCTGGCTTGGGCTTTACTAAAAATGCTATATTTATAATGCTCTGTCTTAGAAATTCACTCTTTAGAAAAATTATGTTTATTCTACGAAGCATCAAAATTTTAGGAGTAAGGAGGTGTGATCACATGTGAGCAGTTATTCAGTATTTTACCCCAGTGGATATGCAGCCCAAAAGGTTTCTTGAGTAAGTTTCACTATGTTAAGAAATAAAATTTTATCTGTTTCTGACAGGAGGGAATAACAGTCTTACCCTTAAAATAACACAGTCCATTGTATTTATTTTCTTGGATACACTTCATTATCCAACATCAGGCACATTTCTTTGCTCTAGGGGTTTATGATGCAACACATGGCCCTTGATTGCCTTATTGTGCACAGCTGCCAATTATTATTTTGTTCCTGTTTAAGAATTTGCGTTGTCTTTGGTCTAAAGCTGGGCATCAACAGAATTACTGGAGTGAATACACAGTGTATTTTTAAAAGATTCAAAAATATATATGGCCATAATTTTAGTTATTTCCAAAAGAACTTCCACCCCTCCCTGCCTCACACCCATATTAAATTGAGAGAAAAAAAAAAAACACAGTCAAACTCTTAAACTTGAGTTTTTTTCAGTTCCTCAAATGTTTACACCATGAGATTAATACAGTTGTTTACAGGGTAGTCTCCAAAGTTGAGTGCAAAATGCCCGTGGGTTGAACAAGCAGCCCAGTGGAAGTGGAACAAGCACTTCCCAGTGCGGGAAGAAAATGTCAGGACTTCTACTCATCTATTTTTTAATCTAAAAATTAAGAAAGAATTAAGTATTGCTAGTATTTACTGTTGCTATTGGCCCCTTGCTTTCTCTGCCATGGTGCCGTGAGCAGGGTTTCCTGAGGGAATGGCGTGTCCACTTTTATTATAAAGTTTGGGAGCGCCTGGGTGGCTCAGTCAGTTAAGCATCCGACTTTGGCTCAGGTCATGATCTCGCGGTCTGTGGGTTTGAGTCCCACGTCGGGCTCTGTGCTGACAGCTTAGAGCCTCGAGCCTGTTTGGAATTCTGTGTCTCCCTCTCTCTCTCTGACTCTCCCCCATTCACCCGCTGTCTCTCTCTGTCTCAAAAATAAATTAACATTAAAAAAAATTTTTTTTTAAGTTTGAACTGGACAAGTTCTCACAAAATGGACAAGGAGCTTGAAGTGATTTTGAGAAGGAACAGTAAAATGAAGATGGCACTAATAATTCAAGCACTGGCAGGACTGGTGCTGATCAATGCCTAGTGCCTAGCCCCAGTCCTTCATTAGGTTGGTCAGATTGGACAGGAAGGTGACAAAACTAAAAATTACCGAGAAGACTATTCGAAGGGTGGATTTATAGGCATTCATATTAATGATGATCCTACCATGAGCATATATTGTACTTTGAAATATAGAGACCCTTACAAAGGAGCAAAGGACCCTCAGACATTTACAGATCCTTGGTAGCTGACCTCTTGGCTGGACTCAACACTTGCATTCCTTTGCCTTCATCATATCTGTTCATTGTCCCACCTGCTGGCCGGGCACTAATACTGTACTTTATGAAACCTAGGTGCCACTTGACTACAGTCAAGGTCATTTCTATGCAAGGGGACTGGGTGTGGAGTGTCAATGAATCGCTGATGCACCTAGAAACGGAAAAACAACTAGAAATTTCATGATGGGCAATAGCACCATCTTAAATGCAAAGGTCTGGCACCATTAGCTGGTACTGAAATTTTATTAGGGGCATAGAAAGGCACAGAAACAGAAAAGTATGATATATAATAAAATCTATACCTAAAATGAGCCTCAAAATATTTTTCAATCATATAAAAATGTTAGGTGATAAGAAAATATTGTGTCAATTTAATTGGTGCCATGTTTTCTCCTTAATGGGGCATAAAATAATGATGGAACGTAGCTGTAATGAAATCTAGTAGTAATTCTACATGTCTTGCCCTTCATCTCTGAAGCAAGTAGGAGACAAAATTCTACACCAATTTTTCACAGAAATTGGCTTAAAGTCCTTACAGATTTGGTGGAAGAAAATAACCTCAACATCCCATTACTGTTTCTTTCCAATTGAAGTACTAGATTTTATATGTCCTATTAAAATATTCTCTCTCACCAGGTAGCTCTTTAGCTCCCCCCTGCTTCAGAACCCCCAACATGGTCTGTCAAAAAGTCGTGTGGGTATAAGAGGTATAATAAGAAAAGTATGTGTAAGGATAAATGAGAGCTGACAACTGACATGCCACCCACTTCCCACTAAATGATAGTGGTTATTTGCCAAAACCATGGGGATTAAGTCCCTTACATAACCTTTTATATCACCTTTAATAAACATGGCACACAAATCACAAACAGACCTCAAACAAATGCCCTTGAGAGTTGCAAACACTGATTCATCCAAAGTTTAAGAAAGTTTTGGTGATAGCGATGTGTTTTAATGTGTTCACCTCCAGACCAAAATTCCCTTCTTCCTGGATTAAAACTGTTCCACGTTTAAGTGGGTACGGGTAAGTAAGAACATCAGATTGAGTGGAGTGATTAATGGTATAATAAAAAGCTGGGTACCAGTTAGGTTGAGACATTAAAATGTTACTTTTTTTTTCAGTATCCCCAGAGTAAGAAATTCCAGACCAAAGTCAAGGCTGGACAGCTTCATGGATTAGCATCTATTAGATGTTTCATACTTGGAGCTTATACCGTAAAGTAGCATGGTCAACACACCAGCTCTTACACTAGCATAAGGACTACACCTGCATACTCTTGATTTACTTTAATGTTTTCTTTCCTACCCCAAGACTGGAAAAAGCACCAGTTTTGAGATTGTGTCTGATTTTTCATCCCTTGTGTGTTCCTACAGCTTTTTCCTTCTATGAGTCTTTAATAAAATGGCTGAACACATTTACTTTCTTTGTTCAAATTTGTCTCATTTTTACCTTGAACAACTTTCTCCGTAAGCAAGATCTCTTTCTAGCCAATCCCAGAGAGGAGTTCTGTGTGTAATAGATAAACTTGGTCCTCTAAATCTCTTAGGCTTTTATCAATAGTGCACACTTGGCAAATTGTATGTTGATACCTTTGCGTGGCACGCATGTCTTTTCTCCTTGGTTAAAACTGAGAGCAAACTGACAGCAAGAAGCCTGTCACCACATATGACATAACAATCCATGCAGTTGCTAATTTAGTTTTTCTTCTCCCTGTGTCTCCCCCCTCCCCCCAGCCCCTTGCCCAAATAAAGTTTTGCTTTTGAGTACAAACTTGCTCACAGTCATTTGCTCTCCTTGAGTTTTGTAAACACCTGAACTCACAGAAGAATTATGCTGAATTATGCTGAATTATTATGTCTCTAGAAGAGAAGGGAAGGAAAGGGAAGGATGTGCTCAAGAACAGGAAAAATGGGGGCGCCTGGGTGGCTCAGTCAGTTGAGCATCTGACTTCAGCTCAGGTCATGATCTCATGGTTTGTGGGTTCAAGCCCCGTGTCGGGCTCTGTGCTGACAGCTTAGAGCCTGAAGCCTGCTTCAGGTTCTGTGTCTCCCTCTCTCTCTGCCCCTCCCCTGCTCATGCTCTGTCTCTCTGTCTCAAAAATAAATAAACATTAAAAACGTTTAAAAACGAAAAAGAAGAAGGAGGAGGAGGAGGAGAAGGATGAGGAGGAGGATAGAAAGAATGGCAAGAGAAAGCTACTTCCTAGCTTGGGAAAGTAGAGAGGAATACAGGTATTTCCGCTAGTGGGGAAATTTGATCCTGAGAACTTTGGAGGAAAGGGCAGAACCTCCGAGGGAAACACAAGGGTATATCTAGGGAAGCTGGAACAATTTTGGCAAACACTGCACTCACATGCAATCCATCAGCAAACTGGACTTCAGGCTTGGAAACTTGAGTATATCCATGATGACGATGGACTGAGGACGAGACACTCTTCCTTATCTGGTAAGTATCACTGGAAGCTACAAGTTTTCGTGAGACAATTAGGGAAGGGGATGGAGCCTCAACAATGACAAGACAGCCTCCCACCAGCTTGACCAAATGGGAACTTCATATTAGTTAATTTACAAAACAAAACAAAAAAAACCCAAAAAACTAAAGAAACACACTCTTTTGTAGTCACATTTGAGTTGGTACAATAATACTGGACCTGCTAAATAGGAATTTTTGTAGTTAGATAAATTCCTACTAGTGGGCTCTGAAATCATAGAAATATTACTCATGTAGCACACTTACTGAGAAAGTATTTATTTATTTTTTTAGAATGTGTTTGTTTTTAAAAGCCTCAGAACTAATTTCCTAGTCTCTTATCCAAGTAGAAAATTGCATGACATATCTGATAATCAGCCTGATGGATAGTCCCTGAAGAAGAATTTTTGTCATTCACTTGGGTGGTGAAATTATGTGTGCATTGTTAAGTTGGCAGTTGTGATTTTGGAAAGTAGCATCTGGCAAAAGATATAACACCAAAATATACTATGACTGTGATAAGCTGGAAAAGTGGTGTGAAGTACTCATAATTAACTAGATGTGAAAGAGAATCAGCATAGAAGAGAGAGAGAGAGAGATTGAAAGCAAGACTCTTTAAGAGTATAGACTGTGTGCATAAATAATGGGCAGCATTTAATTACAGGGTAGTCAGGGTAGAAAACGATCTGTCACAATAACAGGTTCTCAGAGAGTAACTGCTCTTAGCAGAGCAGGTATAATACTGTGAACAGTTTATCAGAGGATGACCTCTTCATGCCTTCACGTATTTATTCCCTCAAAGAGAACCCGGACAGCTCTTGGAGTCACACTGCCAAGGTTTGAATCCTGGCTCAGATATATATTTTTTAAATGTTTATTTAGAGAGAGAGAGGGGGAGAGAGAGAGAGAGAGAGCATGCACACATTGGGGAGGGACAGAGAGAGAGGGGGAGGAGACAATCCCAAGCAGGCTTCATGTTGTCAGCACAGAGCTGAACAAAGGGCTCAATCTCATGAACTGTGAGATACGACCTGAGCCGAAATCAAGGGTCGGATGCTTAACCAACTGAGCCACCCAGGCACCCCTTGGTTCAGATATGTATTACCTGTGTGACCTTTGGCTGATTTCTTAACCTCTCTGTCCCTTGATTTCCTTATTTGTGACATGGGGATGAAAATAACACTAATGCCACTGGATTGTTAAAAGATTTAATAGAGTTGATATTTATAAAGCACACAGAACAGTTTCCAGTCAAGTGAGCGCTATATAAGTATGTGTTAAATTAAACACATTCACTCAACATTAATTTATTACTACTAGATTTAAACCACTTCTTTGGGCACCATAAGGATGCCAAAACATATAAGACATGGTCCTTGTCTTCAAGGAGTTTACGACTTCACAGAGGAAACTCTGGAACTATATACAAGTCTGAAATTACTACTTTAAAAGTGTTTGGAAAGTAGGTCAGCAGAGACAAAAAGATGATTGAAGGATAGGGTTGTGCCATAGATCTTCCACGGTGACGATGTAAAAGGATTTCTGGTTTAGTCTGGAATGTAGGAAAATAGACACTTTTCTTCATGACTAGCTGTACTCTGTTGGAATAGAAGTTGGAAATAAAAGTAGACCAGCGTTATTTCATGAGGATTTTAAGTTGGTGGAAGAAGAGCTTCCTGGCAGAGATAACTGTCACATGTAAGGATATGTGACATCCATGGGAGGTCTTGAGTATAAAGAGGCTGCCTCTCAGAGTCTTGCTCAATCAGTAGTATAGCAATAGAAAATGCATGATATATCCATTTTCATATAATATGGGTGAATTTAACATTATTAGCTCATTTATGGGTCTCAAATAATCTTATCAAGTATAAAAATTGGGGCGGAATACAAGTTTCGGTATTTTCACTTCAGATGCATTTTCCTGAATATCAGATAGTATTTTAATGTCATTTTTATACAGATTTTTGTGCTGTGAACTTTTAAGTAGTGTATGCTTGGGAAACATCACCTCCATTTTCTCTGCAGATGGGCCCAGTGTGAACTGAAGTAAACCCTAACTAATCACTACTGGAGAATTCTAGCTGCCTCCAATCTAGATGAAATAATCTCTCTGCCACTTTTCACAAAGGGAAAGACAGATTTACCTACTGCTTCTTTATAATACACTTTTAATTTTTTTCAAAGCAACAGCAGAAAGTTGGTAGGGTAGACCTTTATGCTGGGTTCCTACTGTTAGAGTTTATGCAGAGCAGCAAGAAGGGAAGAAGTCTGAGAGAGAAGCAAAGAAAGGAGAATTTCGACCAGAACACAACAGAAAAACCACTACCACGACAAATGATTTCCGCGGGAATAAAGAAAAATAAATAAGCCAACCAAAATCTAACAATAGCCAAACAAATTACAACAGGGAAGTTTTAAAAACACACAACAAGATAAATAAGAAAAAATTGTAAAGGACAAAAATATTTGTAAAATGTGTTTTTAATGAAAATGAGAATTGCAGAAATAGCTCCCTTTTCTGAAATATCAATAATCATTGAGAGATGACAGCAGGGAAGAGTGAAAATGCAGGAATGTCTGGATCCTGCTTGGCACTGGGCTCCATTCTCGAAGGCAGAAATAGCATGCCAATATGCTTTTTCATGAGAAATCTGAACACAGTGGATTCCTTCTCCCAGGGAAGCCTGGTGGTCGAACTTCAGCTGCCTTATAGCAAATTAGTCTGCTTGCACGCCCTTTTGAGACACTGGCATTTTATTACTGGGGCCACCCAGAACTAGGTAAATCCTTAATTTTGGTCTCCCCACTGCCTTTGTACTAGCAAAGCAGGGTCTAGCTAACACTGGTAAGGTGGGATTTTTATCACCACTGCAGAACATGGGCATCCCAGCCTCCCCAGCCCCATCCAACTGTGCGCCTCAATGTCAAACAGAAAGCCCCTGCAATTCACATCCTTAAATCTCCAGAAAACCCAGAACAGTATGGGTTGAATTTTATAAAGAGTTCTTACTCTACTTGTAAAAATTGGAATTACTTGGCTGTCGAGAAGGTAGGATTTGGAAGTTGGTGCTAATGTCAACTGACCTGGCATGCTGAATTACTGGAAGCTAAGTTGGGAGTGGAAAGTTGTGATGAACTGGGGCTTGGATAAACTACCTCTGGGTGATTTCTTGTATCTCACTTTATAATGCCCAGCGTGTATCTCCACATCTTTGGAGACCCTTATGGACTGAATGTGTCCCTCCCAGGTGCATATATTGAAGTACTAACCCCTAAAGTGACTGTATTTGGACATATGGCTTTTAGGAGATAATTAAGGTTAAATGACATCATTAGAGTGGGTCCTAATCAGAGAGGGTTGAAGAGGATTAAGAAGAGAGCGATCTCTGCACCATACGAAGATCCAGAGAGAAGGGGGCTGCCTGTAAGCCAGGAAGAGAGCTCTTATCAGAACCTGACCATGGACACCCTAATCTTAATTTCCAGCCTCCAGAACTGTGAGAAAATTAATTTCTGTTGTTTAAATTACCCAGCCTATCGTGTTTTTAAATGGTAACCTGGGTAGACTAGACAGAACCAGACCTACCCAAGGTCCTAATTCTAGCCCTGAAACATGCTAGCTGTGTGACGCTAGGCAAGTCACCTCCCTTCTCTGATTCTCAGATTTTTCATCTGCAAAGTAAAAATAATTGTAATCTTTTATAGGAATGCTGTCAAGATTAAATAAACTGATGAACTGACAGTGACTGTTACATAGCAAGTGATCAACAGTCAACAATTAGTGTAACTTATCGCCTGAAAATGTTACAAAAGACTTTTCCCCCTCCAAAGAAATATGAAACCATAAATTAGGTTTTTTTTTATTTTAATAGAATCCTGCTTTGGTAAATACAATTAGATCCTTTAAATTTAATAGAATCCTGTTTTGGCAAATACCAAAAGTCCA